GGTTCGGGACTGTTACACCCACAAAATCAGTATTGGCAATTGTGATGGAAAAACCGCAAGCTATGAGAGAGTAAACATGAACAATTTAATATTCTGGACGTGACTCATACCCCCGACAAAGTGTTATTTATAATCAGTTTCAACAAGTGTGATTGGATGTCTACTTCTGAAGATAATCTAATGTGACTTGTCACGTGATATTATTTTCACGGTTGAAAGTTTGCTTTGTACTTTGTGGAACTTCTCACAATAGCTTAAAAATTATAATACTTACATAAAGATAACATATACGACTTCTTCGACTGTTGACGTCATCACAAGTGGATGTGATACCAGTTACAAGAATTGTATTTCTTTAATGTCACGTGACTTGTCACCAGATGAGATCAGAATCAAATCAGATCAATTTGGGTGTGAAACCCTTCCATTTCCAGCCATATCTGTATCATATGACTTTTATTGATTTTTAAATATTTCTATTTTTAAGTATTTCTAATTTCAGTTTGTCAAAGGTATTGCCAGTAAAGTTTTTTCTTAAATACCTGTATTACGTTATGTCAGACGTTTCTACTGATGATAGCTTAAATAGATAAATTTTGTTCTTCGTGTCAGTGCAAGGACGTCACTTGTCGGTCATTGTCGATGGCATACTTCGACCTAGTCTTGGCCCATGGCGTTGTTTATAACCGACTCACACGAAGGCCCTGAGTGTGTGTGGGGTGGGCGTGTTCTCGAGCCGTTTGTGGATGGGTTGGGGAACGACAACAACGCAACAACGTCTTATCTAAGATTAACTTCGACCCGTATATCGTGCACAGTTCAAAAATTTCCGGTAAAGACGCGGCGTGAAAATGAACAATACTATCCAAATGGACTATTTTCTTTCTTCATACTCATTTAATTGTCAATTTCATTTATTAGCTGTTTCGGTCACCGGCCGAAACAGATATTGGTTTTGTTAGATGTTTTTTTTTGTTTTTTTTTATTTCCTCTTCCACATCAAATCCCATTCTATAACATGGGTTTTCGTTCTGAGCAGGACTTCTACCCTTTTGCAATTTGCGATCGACTTCAAACTTGGCAGGTACTTCAATTATCATCCAAAGATGGTCCTAGAAGCATGACGTCATCATGACGTCATCACGTGATTTTTAATTGAATTTTGAATATTTAATTTTTCCCATAGACTTTGTACACAGATTTAGGCACTCATTTTTGTCACTTAGCGATGTTCAATGTCCATCACAGTTACACTTCGTAAAGTCCCTGAGGCAAATGTTTCATCAAATGAATGACGTCGTGATTTTTTATTGAATTTTGAATATTTAAATTTTCCCATAGACTTTGTGCACAGATTCAAGGCACGGTTTCGGCAACTTCACGAACTTCTATCTTCATCAAAGTTACAAGAAGCTACTGCCCTAATACAAAGATGATTGCCGTGTGATGATGTCATTATGATGTCACCGGGTGTCAAATTACAGGCAATTTAAAATTACAAATTTAAATATTTAAAATTTTATAAAACATCATCTGTTAAAGATATAAGCTTGATTCTTTTGCCAAATGTCAAGACTAAGGAAAGTCTTTCTTTATGACACATTGCTTGACCTCTGAGACCTCTCCTTCCGGTCAAACCGGAAGTGGCTTCTCATTTTAAAACGGTAATGGCTAGGAAATTGATTCTTTTGCTAAATGTCAAGGTAAGAGAAGGTCTTCCTTCAAGACATATTGCTTGACCTCTGTGACCTCTACTTCCGGTCAAACCGGAAGAAGCTTATCATTTTAAAAAGGTAATGGCTTAGAACTTGATTCTTTTGCCAAATGTCAAGGTTAGGGAAGGTCTTTCTTCAAAACACATTGCTTGACCTCTGTGACCTCCACTTCCGGTCAAACCAGAAGTAGCTTCTAATTTAATAAAGATTAGGACGAAGAACTTTATTCTTTTGCCAAATGTCAAGGTTTGGAAAGATCTTTCTTCATGAGACAGTGTGTGACCTTTGTGACCTCTACTTCCTGTCAAACCGGAAGTAGCTTCTAATTTAATAAAGATCAGGGCTAGGAAGTTGATTATTTTGCTAAATGTCAAGGTATACACGTCACCTAACTTGAAATGATGCTTACATCATGAACAAATGCTTCTTATCTGGCAGTCATAAACAATTAATTTGGAAAAAATTGCCGAAACAGCTCAGTGTTTGTTTACCAACAAACACAACGTCCGTCTAGTTTCAATTATTTGTAGCATTGTTTCAACTGTAGGGCTAGGGTATTTAGGAAATTTATGTTGATGTGAAATTGAATTTAATAAAGTTTGGAATATTTCGGCAAGCTGTTTCCGGAAAGTCAAAAATTGACTGTCTGGGTCACGCGACCCTCCTGCGTACACGTAGCTGATACTAGACAGAGAGTAGTTGGAGATTTTTGGTCTGGGAACCAGAATAACGTAGCTCATATTGAACTTTGTACCCAAGACTCCTGCTCAAGACGGAGGCTAGTAGAGGCAACATAAGAATTTGGTGGTGATTGCTGGGAAGGAGGTTTTTCATGAGTGGACACAAGCGCAACCTTGTGAACAATCCGTCGTTTGTTTTGCGCAGTATACAAGACCAATTGCAGGTCAAGACTGTCTCGTGTATTAGTGGTGCATGCTGTGCACGTACAATAATGTTCTGCATTCTAGCTACAAGCTGACAAGACTGTGCATGCATATGTGATTTCTCATCAGTGGTGTGACTCTAATACGGAAGTTGTGACGATTGAATGTGACGTTGAAGGAGTCGATAAGATTAACAAGGAGAGAGCCTAGCCAAGGTAGGTGATATAGGTTATGTTATTGAGGTTAGAATGTGGGAATTGAGTAACGTTAAGTTTG